ACACCTCCCCCGTGCACCAGCGCACCTTGGACACGCCCCCCTGTCTTCAGTCCCGTTTTCCTGCATGACGTTTCCCTAGTGTTTCCCCACTCCGTCGGACTGTGTCGTCCGCATAGGGTCCGGAAAGAACTGTTCGTTACAGCTGCACTATATTTAAATCGATATATAATTTCTTAATATTTCAATTTGACATTGAGGTACAGTATGCACCTTTTGAAACATTTAGTATAATTTTAATGACCACTTGCAATACAGTGGTGTAAGTAATGACAGTAATATGAAGACAGCCTGCAAGAACAATGCTAATATTTTCATATACAGTATATACTGTAACTGAAGTATAGTATTTATATCTGTGGATATTATTTCATGGAATTCTTTAAGGTGTGTGGCTCATTGTGAAATATATGTATATTTTGGGCTATGTTTTGGGCTCATGCACAATTAAAAACAACATGCTATGAAGGAGACATTTCCTTGTTTAGCTAGAAAATTGATCCTTTAAAAATAAAAATAAATCTTTAAAATTATTTTAGAATTGTAGAATTAAAAAATGCCACTAAGAAAAATCTATTTTTTTGTGTTCCCAAGTCAGGGCAAGCAGCCAAAAAATATCATAAATCTTGAGGGGGCCTGAAGGACTGCATGGTTCAAAGGCCAATTAGTGTCTGTATGAAACACTACGAAATAATGTCTAAAATTCAGGAACATTTTTATCAGTAGATGCCACCATAAGCCAAATGAGAAGCACCACAATCGATTCGAAGCTGCCCCAGAAGTATTTCACACTTTTGTGCATTTCCATTTGTACCGGGAACATATCAGATATTAAACTGAGAAACTGAGACATATTTTTAATTAAAAGTCATCAAATATCTATAGTACAATGCATTGTGTGAATGAACTGGGTGTAAAAAGCCAGTAGATTATCCTGACTGTTAGTTACTTAGTGTTAGTTATTTAATACAGTATGTTGATTATATAGCAGTGACAAATATTTGGCCGAACAACTTTGTACATAAACCCCTTTTCGGTTCACAAATTGATTGCCTGAATCAGAATTACAATGTGTAGGGGATGCAAGAATTCACAGAGCAGTTCAGTGAAGGTAGGAGAGAGACAATGAGCAGTGAGTTAATCAATGAAAATGAATTTGGTGCTGGCCTGTTAGTTGCGACATCATAGTAAACAATTGGTTTGGATGTTTTCAGATAAAGTCCTGGTACACATCCTGTAGGTCCCTGAATAGTGGATTGTCATCTGACTGATGGACAGTGACCTCTGACCCATGGTCTGGGCAGAGGGAGACTACAGATGGAGCTTTTGGCATTGACACAACTTTACGATGTCAGATGGGCCTCTTCAGCTGCATTCCTCTGCTTTTACATAATAGACCAAATATTAGAAATCTCAAATAATACTTAATACTAACTGTATATTAATATATTAATATCCCTTGCCACTACAACAGTCATAGTAATTTCAAACCATAACATTTAAATTCACCTTGCATTGTTATATTCCTAATTGTTTAGTCTACTTTTCTTGAGTTAAAAAAGTGAATAAGTAATTATCATAGTGAATACATAAGCAAGTAGTGTGATAATGACTGCTCAGATTGTTTTGATGTAATAAGTGGTGTACCACCAGGATCTATAGTAGGACCAAGGTTCTTACAAATTTTTGTCAATGGTCTAAACTGTTATAAATAGTAGATATGTCAAATGTACAAATTATGTAAACAAAAGTTGTAGCAAATGTCAATAAAAGCCAAGACTTCTCAATTCCTGGTATACAAGTGCTGGATTTTGCAAGTACAGTACCTGTACTGTACATACTGTAGCAAAATCAAACTTTAAATACAAAATGGGAAACACTGAACTAAAAAAGGCAACTTCAGACTTAGATGTTTATGTTCACACAAAAAGGAAATAAAATATACAGTACATAGTTAAAAGCAGATACCCTGGATTCAAGGAATGTTAGAATGAGATCCTTGAATGAATTAGCTGCTAACTATGAAATGGGCTTCAAAAGCCAAATGGTATACAAATAGTGGAATGTAGCTTGTCTAATGGTCTTAAAGGAAAATAGCAATAAACAATTTATTTGGAGTAAATCAGTGTACCTAATATAAATCAGTCTATGCCTCATAAAGATGTAAAATAATTTACATGGGGGCAGCAATACTCTCTAAAATAATTATATACTGTATAATGTATAGGTATACAAATATACTAATATACAGTAAAGTGAGAAAAAAGGAGAGAATGCTCATATAGTATGCTATACAATATGTCTATGTAGGAGAGTTGCTTAAATAAACTCTTGATCTGCTCTGCCACTCACTGGAGCTCATTTAATTCACATGAACTTAAACACCACTGGAATATGATGAATACATGTTTCTAAAAAGTGGCTGCACATCTGACAGTGATATATGCCGTGTGCGATAAAATATGTGGTTCTTAATATGGGTTTCCATCAACTGTAACTACAATTTGTTCTCTATTTGTCAAAACACCTTCTTTGCAGTTTATGTATTAATTTATGTATGCATTGAATGTGGCCCTGTTTTTCATATTTGGGATATTTTTCCCCCTTTTCTTTTATTAAGCTTCTTTGTATGAATACAATCAGATTCACTTTAAGAAAAAAATGACAGTGTCATTTACAAAGATGAGCTAGGTCAGCAAGCATTGTGGCAGTTTTCAGAGAGAACGGTTAGTTGCTCGCAGGCGTATGTTTCTCCAAGATCATTATGTCGGCTTCAATCAGTTGAGCTAATGCATCATCTTCAACAATAAATAGTTTACTTCGTACACAATACTGAGTTTGAAATTAATGGAAGTTAAAAAAGTATTTTTAATGAAAGGAAGGGAAGCTTCAAGGCCTTCAATTTGAAATAAACTGTTTTGCACCTGGTGATAAAAAATAGGCTGGCTTTTAGAAAAATAAATATTAATATTCCATCCATCCTTCCATTTTCTGTTCTGTTTTTCCAATTTAGGGTCTTTGGGGACCCAGAGCCTATCCTAGCAAGCAACAGAAGCAAAGCAGGGTACACTCTGAACTACAGGGGAGACACACAGACACACATACACAATGCATACATACTTTAAATTCATACCCGGGTCAGTTTTTGGTGATTACTATAGATCCAAAAGCATACAAGGTATATTTATTAATCATTTTTAAATTATAGTCAAAACAACCCCCTTAATCCTCCTTTCTAATCCCCATTAATTTCTGAAAATGTGCAGCTAATAATTAACCCAATAACAATAATATAAACTCCTTAATATTATTGTATGATTAATATATTATATTATTACAGTAATAAAGAAAAATCTGACTTAGTGTCATGAGGAAATGTCTTGAGTTATGAGCCATAAAAAGATATATGGTACATAGTTTTTATGTGTCATAAAAAGATTTAGAGGTTGAACTGCAGTGTACAAAATAACACTGAAAAAAAGCATAATTCTTTTGTCTTTTTTTGGTACACATTATATGTTTTAGGATCTATAAGACATATTTTAAGTCAATTTTAGGTGTATAATAAGAAATGCAGGTACAGCGCAGTAAATTTAAAAATATTCTGTATTTAATATTGAGATGGTATAAGAATAGACGGTCTATTCCAATAGGTACCAAAGTTCCTTAATTGAAAAAATATTTCACTTGCTCCACAGATGGTGATGTCTTTATAATTGCTCCTGAAGTGACTTGCATCTGTAAATGCTGTGGCATTAATTTAAATGTTTTGTAAATATTCCACAAAAGTAGTCCCTTAAATGTCTTTTTCGCACGGAGCATATCAAAAACAGGCATCAGGATATCATTTAGGTTGGGTGACATTAGTGGTTAGGTCTCATTTATTTGAGAAGATTCTGATTAATATCTGAATCTTAACGTTACTTAATTAAAAAGATTCCTGAGTGGGAATCACATCAGAAAATCACAATATACCAAAGCAATGGTCTATAAAGTAATTTTTTAGAATATACATATTTTCCTGTAAGCCACTCACAATTTACATGGGTCTGATTTTTCGTACCACTGCCAAAATCTGCTTTCATTTTTAATATTATAAACTCATCATTTTCCCTGAATCTAAAACAAATATTGTGATCGTGAAATGCTTGCAAACCAATAGAATAACATTGTAGGGTTTTTTGTTGTCTTGTGAAAAATGAATATGAAAATTTCTCGATCAATAATCAATTGCAAGGCCACTGCAATAATACATTTCTTTCACCAACTGTAACACATATCAGCGTATAGGATTTTGGTGTAAAATACCAAGTAGTTGTGAATCGCTCTCTGCAGGGCACCCTGGCTGCTGTTTCTGCTGTTTCTGATCTGTGGTTTGGCTTTAAATCACAATGCTCATTTGAAGGACTGGGTTTTCACAAGCATGTGTTATGGATTATATAAATCAGATGTGTCCATTCCTCGACTGAGACCTTCATACAGTAGTTAGTTTTTATCCTACCTGAGCACTTAAGTATCTAGAAATTAAGCTGCTGGTTATTTAAAAAGCCCCCAGGCTTGTAGGTGTATGATTAAATAAATATAGAAAATCCTTAGGTCAGGTAAGAGATTCTTCTGTGCAATGGCGATCACCATGAATCAGTGCTCTGTTACAGTAATATAGATTGACTGAATAGGTTCTGATTTATTTTCTCCTGATCTGATGACAAGATGATCTGATGATTTAGGCAATTCCCTTCTAAATGCTGACTGAGGTATTACCAGGCAAAGTACAGTAAATTATACTACAGCCATGGTAAAAGTAAAGCAACGCATACTAATATCTAGTATATATGACAGTGTTGATACTGTATGATTTAACATGAAAAGACAGGAGCATTCCAAATATAACATTTCAAAATGAACATTTATATTTACTGAGGTGAACATTTGAAAGAAAAGGATTGATCACCTCCAGAGAATGCATAGGTGTTATGGGATTGTTACTCTCTCTTGTTTCCCAGACAACACAGCTGGCATCAGGACCCAGCGCACTGGCTTCAATAGGCGAGAGCAGAATGTCTACTTGCTCCCCATCCTAGTAGTGGACAGTGGGCCTCCTGCCCTCAGCAGCACGGGCACCTTGACCATCCGAGTGTGTGGCTGTGACACAGATGGCACCATCCAGTCCTGCAACTCCACAGCCTATGTCATGTCGGCTGCCCTGAGTCCTGGGGCGCTCATCGCACTCTTGGTGTGCATGCTTATTCTAATTGGTAAGATATCTGCAATTATCTGATTGAGTTATGTCCTTTACGCTATCCTGTTTCTAAATGTTTTCTAACAGCACCACATGGTGGTATTTTTAATCCCATTCCATACCAAGCACATCGAACATACTGTCTCTAAACAGCACTAACCACTGCAGGTGACAGTGCACTGTCATACAGGACCTGACACATACAGTACGCTCTTACTGAATCAGGATACAGTATTTCCAGTATGCCAAGACTTCATATCATATGAATGGGAAGATTGGGTAGCTCCATTAGGTTTGCTGCATTCAGTTTAGAACAGTGGGAATCAATGAGAACAAATAACTATGTTCTCATTGATTCCCACTGTTCTGAACTGAAATGTATCCATATTTTCTACACGCAAACATGGCAGGTCTAAATAGACATGTTATAAAGACCACAAACAAAACAACATATTGTATGAGTTTACAAAGCTACTGTTGCTACTGTAATTGAGAATTGTGAACTAGGGAGTGTTGAATACATATCAGTGAGGCATCCAGCATACAGCTAAGTACACTACAAATGCTTTAACAGGGCAGGCAGGGTGCTAATTTACTACTGTCCAAATATGTTTTCTGTGGTTTAGTATCAGTGGGTGTTTATGTAGAGGTTGTTGGTTGTTGTCTCCATAAACATTTTATGGATACATTATTTGATATCTATAAATCATTAACATTGGCATCCTATGTAGATGAATTAAGAGAGTACCCCTCTTGGAAGAGGTGTATAAATCATACTTATTCATTCATTATTTTTTCATTTCTTTGTGACAAGCTACAGATAAATAATAGAGTTGTCTCATGTGTGAGAACTAGTTCTAAATGCTCAAATAAAGCAAAGAAGGTATCTAGCATAAGCTTAAGAATAGAATGATCTAAAAAAACGCAAGATACAATTTAATGCAGTACAGTAAGTTGTGCAGTGAAGCAAAAATACAGCAAACATGATTTAGGATAACATCACTAAGTTATAGAAAATTAAAGTTTGCCCAGTATAAGTATCAAAATCTGAATCAAAATGGACTGTTCACAATCTGAGAGAGGAAGAAAGCAATCACAAAATGTGTTTTTCTTGAAATGACAATACTTTTGTTATATAATCCATATTAACTACAGTATGATAGAGAAGGGCAGCTTAAGGATCTAGGAGCCTTCTTTGATCTTAATTGAATACTTAATTGAATGTATTATTTGCATAAGAAGTCAAATGCCTTGATTTATACAGACTTAGATTAGTAACTAAAAGATATATGTAAAGCCAGCAAGAATCCAGCCTTCAAGAATAAAGAAGCACAAATGAGACAATCTTACCTGCTATTTTTTGCTTGTTTTAAAGTTGGCTAAATGATCAGATTTGCCTCTGTAAATGCTTCAGTGGAAGCCGCTTTGTTGAGGTTTGTCTGAATCACACTCTGAAACAGGCTTAAACAAGCACAGATAACACATGAGGTAATAAATCATTTATTCTACCTCTGCCACCGAGTTTGCTTCTGAATCTATGTTTTCATAAAAATAAAACACAGGCTTTTGTTGTAGAAAACATCGCTATCAGCCACGGCAAATTACACTCAGTGCACTGTTTTGCTACAGCAGATGTTTCAATGCCCTTTTATGCTGCTGCCCAGATACAGTAGCTGGATCAACATTTACAGTACATCACCTAGTACACATGACTTTAAATAGGACATTTCAGAGAGCCCATACCTGTATGGGAAGAAAAGGTTACAATTTTTCAAAGTTTCAGGAGTTTCCTTTGCCTTTTTCTCCACATTTTTCTTTTACTGTTTTTACAGCAGTTTTTTTTTATTGTATGAATATTCTTGTGTTGCAAAAACGAGAGCATTTACCTTTTTATGTTTATATTTAATATTAACTTCTTTTCATTCAATATACTATGTCTGTGCTTATTATATGATAAAACACTCAGAGGAACCTCCGGATGTTATTTTATTCTCACCCACAGCAACCTGTTTACAAAATAAACATTTATTGTTACTGTCAGATTTATTAACTTAATTTCTTGCAAATATTTGCTCATGTTTTGTTTTCTTACTCTTTCAGCCCATTAATTATTTTATTGGTTTATTTGACAGACAAGGGCAACACGGTAGAGCAGTGCTCCTGTTTACTCCCATAGCCCAGAGACATACTGGTAGGTTAATTGGCTTCTGGAAAAGTTGGCCCTGATGTGAGCGTGCACATGTTTGTGTCTTGTCACACACAGACACCAACACACGCACACGTATGCAGACAGGTGTATCCTATAGAAGTTTGTGCCTGTTGCTTGTTGGGATAGGGTCCAGCTCCCCCATGACCATAAGTGGATAAAGCAGTGAGAAAATTTGACAAAAAAGTAAGGCCATATCAGAATATAACATACAGTATGTTTTGATCTGTAAAAGATGGCATAATATATTTAGATTGGACTAACAGATAGTAGGTTGAGTGTTCTGTAATTCAATCATCTTGACAGTGAAGCAAAGGCATGAAGTGAAAGATAATAAAAAACACAGTAATTAGGGTATAGCCTTACAATACAATCGTATAAATAAAAAATAAATAATTTGATAAAGAACATTCATAAACATTTTCTCTCTGGGTCAATGCAAGAGAGCAGTGCTGGCAATAAAAGCTTGCTGGATGCAAGGCAGAGAAAAAGACTTGGATGTACAAGTGAGAGACTTACAAGTAGAGTGGTTCCAAAAGGTGGTCAAAGATGGTACTTTCTCAGTATTTGTAGATTATTCTACTGCAGGCTGTAGGAACAAGAAAGAGTGGGAATATAGGTACATGTAATAAGGGTATTTTTTTCTTTCCATATGATGGACCAGACAACCTTGTTCATGTACACTGCAGACCAGTAGACCTGTTGATGGAAGGCAATAGAAAATAATGTTTTGGATCCTTTTCCTTGAAATAAAACAATTGAAATCTCATTCAAACACATGACTTAGAAAAAGGTTTTGCTATCTTGTAATGACATAACAATTTTAGCTGCTTGTTTTGGTTTTTTATCATCGCAGAAAGCACACTTATCAAAATGTTCTGTCAATGCATTTCCTAGTTTCTAGTCTTACCAATCAATGGTGTGCAAGCAGCTTCCCCACTCTCCTTGTGGAATAATTACAGAGTAACAATGTCAGTTATTCTTCATTGAGCTTGACAATGCACTATAACTGGTTCTCTATTGATCTATCAGCCAGTCAATCAGATGCTAGTCTTTTCTATTCTGTTTTTTAAAAGTACATTTTACTGAAAGAAAAGTACTATCAAAATCCAATGTGCAAAGCCTAGTAAGTAAATTATTATTTAATAAAATTCAGTACAATGATAATTGCAGTGGAAACTTGTGCTAAGTTTTGTTTCACCTGTGGTTTTAATTTAGCAGTGCTGCCACAGATAGCCCCATGTGAAAAAGTGCACTTCAGAGATGCCCCCGTTAACTTAGGTTTAGCTGTCAAAGAGACTGTGTGATCCACTGTGGTGGAGAGGGGTCAATGGTCTCAGGGGATACAAGAAGGTCTGTGACACAGGCAAGGAAAAGGTAACAGGACCTCCTGCAGTGCAAAATTGGCAACGCAGAGCTGGTAAGCAGCATTGGAGGGAAAGGCAAAGGCAAATGTAGAGCATGATCCACTTGTAACAGTTGACTGATGTGCCAATTGGTCTGAATATCAGAGCTTTGTATCTCCTGTAAAGGGAAAGTTAGGGAAAGTCTTTTTTTTTCAGAGAACTGTTCTGGGGAATCATAATTCTTCTCGTTCCAGGAAGAGACAGACAAATTATTTGCTGTCTTCCTTAATCAGCTTGTTCAATACATGATACAGAACTTCTGTCATTACATGGTTCACACTTAAACATTGTCTAAGGCAAACACCTCAGAAGCCACTATGTTTGGTCCCTCAGCTTCTCGTGGCAGGTCAATAAGGTTTAGTAAGGTGTAATTCAAACCAGATTTTGTCATTTTAAAATAGTACAAATAGTGAACAACGTACAACAGCTGCCATTCAGAGATGACAGATCTCTGAAAGTGTGTCCTTTTATATGGCCTTTTATTAGTAGATTCTTTGACAATTTGCATGTTGTAATGGGTGGTTAAAAAATGTGGAAGGTCTGTTCTTCATTACAGTGCTGCATTTGATTTGATAGCAGGCACGGAAAACTGGGTTAACACCTGTGTAGCTAATTGAGGGCCAAGAGCACAGCTGGACATGGAGATATACCCCCTCTCAAAAAGAACAACAGACCACGTATTATTGCAACCTATTTTAGCATGCCACCAGTAGCAATATATAACAAAATATTCAACATAATATAATGCAAAATTATTTTTTGAGAATGTAAAATAGGATGACTTGGAAGTGGAACCTCCTTTCTTTGGTCAAACTTGAGACACAGCTCATGTTAATCTGCAATTCAGCCACTTCATTTGGACAGTCATGAGACAGCATTAATCATAAGGGTCCACTAAGCAATGCTGAAATTAGGTTAAAGATCCAACAAATTTCTTCTTTGGGCCCTGATCCTCGTTTGTGTCTGTAAACATGTTATGGGCTCTAGTCTCATTATCTCACTAGTCTACTTTATCAAAAAAAAAACATTGCCTTAAATATATTAGCTACTGTTGTTAAAACTTAATGTAAGAAAATATAACACAAGGATCCTGGATAATTGTCCCAAGGATTTCATCCAGCACTTTCTTAAAAGAAGCTTTCAGCAATAGAAGAAGACTTCAACAATATAAGCTTCCTACAACCCTATGCATAAAGAAGTGGGTTATGATGTCCGATTTAAATGAAATAACAAAACATTGTTTCCAGTAGCATCCTCTGATTCATGGTTCACTGTTTATCCTGGATAATTTCATTGGGTTGACTTGTCAATGCTGTTCATGATGGCAAATTCTTGTATCACCTCTCCTCAAAACCTAAAAAAACAGATAACTGGAAAACTAAGGGGAAATTAAACTTTGTTTAA